TGTCCTATGGCAAGTGCGTGCAAGCTATTTCATTAACACCAAAATACTGAATATCAATTCCTTCTATGAACTGTCACCAGGTCATCTTTGTTATAAACTACACATGTACTATTACTATTATAATGATATTATAATATAATTGTATCTATTGCTATATTATAATAAGAGTGATGCAAGTCTAACTTAATTAAATCAATCTAAAAACCTCTGGGAAATTGCAATATTACACCACATGGTGGAACTAAAAATTCTTACTTCACCACATGCTCCAAGATCTGAAGACCAAAATGCCTGACAATAGCAGTCTGGGATTTTTCTGCTAATTTCAATCCACAAGGAACACAAACTGGACTTTTTTCTTTAAATTCTTCACAAAACTGAAAAGGAATAAGAATTTATTTTAAGCGCTTAAGTGAATAATTTGTCCACTAAGATAATTATGAAAAGGCCAAACAAATTCTGAGATAAAGTATTATTTTAAATCATTCCCACTATATTGTTTTGAAAATATGGGAAACATATTTCTTATGTATGCCTACTTATGTAATTTAAGGTATGGCACTATACAGCATACTAACTAAAAGTGATATACATCACACTTATGAACACAACTTTCAGGATACTAATATTTATTATACTAATGGTTTGCCTTTCAATTTGTGAATCCAAATGGATTACTTTTCCCCTCTTAATTATTGGACTATTTCCCTGATGATTTCTAGGTTACATAGGTATTATTCGCCACTAACTATACTATTATATTCACTAATTGCTAACTTTTTCTGGTTTTCTATTTTTTTAATGTCAATTTACAATGTTTACAACATTTTAACTAAAATTAATTTCTCCCAAACTTCTTTCTATATATAGTTATGGTTGATTTCTTCTATCAAACTCAAGTTTGTATATCAGATATTTTGAAGGTTCTACTGTCTTCATTACATCTAAAAATGTAGCCAAACACATGCTTTGATATCACCCATATTATTCTCTTCCCCTTGCCTTTCTGTATTTTAAATCTACCTGCCTGATGAAAACTTCTTGCAAACACAGACACGAGCACCTATTTCATCAATGTTCAGTGAGACGATTAAAAATATTGCTTCCATGTGGAATGTCGATTTCCCCCCTCATGGCTGACATTTTTGTTAGTCCTTCCTTGCTACATTTGCTACATGTTGTCTTGATGCTTTCACAGCTAGATCAACTCAGAGCACTATATCCGGAAGTCTGAGAAAAACAGTACAGAACAGAGTGTTTTTATTCCTGGAATACCACTGCATGCAGGCAGCTATCTGGCCTGCTCAACTGGCAGCCAATATTATATAAGTAGGCTGTTTCCCATGTTTTCAAAACAATACAGATAGTCCTTGATTTAGAACAGTTCATTTAGTGACCATTCAAAGTTACAGTGGCACTGAAAAAAGTGATTTATGACCCTTTTTTCACACTTACGACTTCTGCAGCATCTCAATGATATGATCAAAATTCAGATACTTGGCAACTGGTTCACATTTATGACCATTGCTATGTCCCAAGATCATGTGATCCCCTTTTGCAACCTTCTGACAAGCAAAGTCAATTGGGAAGCCAGACTGACTTAACAACTGGGTTACTAATTTATCAACTTTGGTGATTCATTTAACAACTGTAGCAAGAAAGATCAAAACTCACTTAACAAATGTCTCACTTAACAGCAGACATTTTGGGCTCAATTGTGATCGTTAAGTCGAGGACTACCTGTGGTAGGAATGATTTAAAATAACACAGGTAGTCATCAACTTACAACAGTTCATTTAGTGACCGCTCAAAGTTACAACATCCCTGAAAAAAGGGACTTCTGACCGTTTTTCACACTTACAACCCTTGCAGCATCCCCATGGTACACATGATCAAAATTCAGATGCTCGGCCACGGACTTGTGTATTTATGACGGTTGCCATGTCCAGGAGTCACGTGACCCCCTTTTGCGACCTTCTGACCAGCGCAAGCCGGATTCGCTTAACATCCGGAATGACTCATTTAACCACGGCAGTGATTCACTTAACAACAGGAGCAAGGAGAAAAAAAAACACCACAAAATGGAGCAAGTCTCCCTTAACGAATGTTTCACTTAGCGACCTAAATCTTGGGCTCCGTTCTGGTCGTAGGTTGAGGACTACACCTGTACTTCAATCTCAGAATAAGCGGCCCCGTGAAAAAAGGGGCCTGACGGGGTAGGGATGTGTTGCCCCAAGGGGCGTCGAGGCCCCAAAGGCATCAATAAAGCCGAAGAGGCGAGCGAGTTCTCACGTTCTCCACCCCGAACGAACCGCTCCAAAGGATGGCCAGGCGAGTAGAACAGTAACGGCAGCGGGAAAAGGCCCGCGGCGGCCATGCGTTTCCCTCCCAGTTTACTTCAGGCCGCTCGTTTGCGTGCATGCTTCGAAGGGGCGTTCCCGCCAGTAACCGCCGCCGCCGCCACGATACCTTGAGGGCCTCCAGACGGTAGCGCTGCGTGGAGGCCGGGTCCATCATCGCCGTTACCGCCTTCACCAGCTGCTCACACAGCGTGTTCACGGGGTCCCACGACATTGTGCCTGGAAGCGAGAACTTCCAGGGGGGGTGGGGGAACGGGAGGGGGGAGAGGTGCCGTTGCCCACGGCAACCAAGCACCGGGGGGGGGGGAAAGCCAAGAAGCAACGGCGTGCCGGTTCCAACGGAGAGAAAAATCACATTGCGCAGGCGCAGGAGGTCGGCTGATCTCTTCTGAACGGCGGTGGGACACGTTGGGTTTCTACGAAACTCTATGGTACGCGTATAGAGTTAGAAATGTAGTAGAATGCATCGTTTTCCTTTGAGGGACTTCGGTTCTTCAGGGTTTCCTTTCTCATTTCCCCCCCCCATCCCCCAACGTTCGACTTTCTCTTTCTTCAGAGAAAGTCATTCCACAAAGGCCAACCTGCAACAGGGAATATTCAGAAATATATTCATATTGGTGAAACGACATTCAGTTTTTTTTTAAAATGAACCTAAGCTTGACAGGGTTGTGTCTCAGTTTTTAGTTTCATGGGCGAATGGGGGCTGGATGGATGGAGTAATAATGCATTGTCCTGGAGTCCTGGAAAATGCATTATTACTCCACCAGGAGTCATAATAACCAAGTTTCTTAAGCTAGTGGAAAGAAATCCGGAGGAGTCGTACCCTTTTTGACTAAACCATTTTATGAAATGGTATTAGCTTTTGGTTAGGGTATTGCTTCAGGGTTTAGTGACCCTAAAAAATGAAGTATTTTAATATTGTGTGTGACCAGCTATATGCTAAATAAAATAAAGTGACTCTAGGCTAGACAACAGATTTCCTGACGTTTTTCTGACAACTGTGATTGGCATATTCAGGGGAAAGCGATCTGCTTAGGCAGACCACAGGGAAATGAGCAGGGATTCACTGGATTGTTATCTTTATAGCCAGGTATCTTGACTTCTGACTGGCAGAAGCTTTTGTGATCCCTTTGTTGGAAGAAACATCCTTCTAGGTTCTGCTCCAAGTGGGGAAACAGACACTGGAAACATGGAGACTGCTTGGAAAGATGGTTTAATGGTGGACAGGATCACATGGCTTGAGTTCCTGAACAGAAAAGGGGCAGATACAGAAAATCCTCGGGTTTTTATGCTCTCTCTGGCTCTGCATTTCTTGGGGCCCCAAAAGAGTACCCTGATTGGTTGTCAGACTCCCAGGGGGTGGGGGCCTTGCTGGCTGATGGTCACATGTGCTTCCCAGGTCACATGTGGTGAGTTTCTGCTGCTATTGTGTAGAGGGCTAATCCTTGTTGGATCTTTGGCAATTCCTACTATGGCTCTGCCTGAAGGAGGTAGATCTTTGTTATGTAGAATAGACTGGCCCAGGCCTTAATGGCCCATTGACAAAGGGTGGGGGCAGGAAGATGGGAGCTGCTTCAAAACATGCTTATCCCAGGGAAATATAATATTCTGCCTTTTTCATATTTCCTAAAATATTTCACTCTTCCAGGAGAGGGGTGGGTGCTAACTTCCTACACCTTCATCAGCAACCTTTTCACCAATCTGTTTTCCCCACTCCGCCTTACCCCAGTTTAAATCCTACAGCCTTCTATCCTTCCGAGTTCTGTAAAATGAGGACCCAGATTGTTGGGGGCAACATGCTGACTCTGGGAACTGCTTAGAGAGGGCTGTAAAGCAATGTAAAGCGGTATAGAAGTCTAAGTACTATTGCTATTGCAAAGCAGTATATATTATTTATTTATTTATTTATTTATTTTGTCAAGAAGGTGTTGGAAGAAACATCCTTCTGGGTTCTGCTCCAAGTGGGGAAACAGAAATAGAGGAAACATTAGGACAGGGGTGGTAGGCAAGCTGGTGCTTTTATGCACACCCCTTACAGACCTCTAAGTGCTATTGCTATTGCTTATGCTGATGAAGAGAGCTGCAGATCACGAAAGCTTCTGCTTTTTAATTAAACGGGTTGATCAGAAAAGATGTTTAGCAGGCTTTTCCAATTTTTTGCCAACATAGACCAGCACTGCTTTTCTCATATATAGGCTATGTGGGAATCCCAAAAGTGCTTTTTCGAAAGGCAACTGGACTTTGTTTTTTTTCCCTTGAAGACGTTTCCCTTCTCATCCAGGAAGCTTCTTTAGGGAAAAAAACAAAATCCAGTTGCCTTTTATAAAAGCACTTTGGGACAACCATGACCTGGAAGATTGAGAATCTCCATAGAGAATCCCATAGTGTGGGAAATTGAAAAAAAGAAAAAGAGAGAAGGCAAAGGCAAATCGTTCCCTCTCCAGAGAAGGCAAAGGCAAATCGTTTTCATACTCGGAAAAATATGGGTCTATCCATAAAAAAACACGAGGAGTTGAGCTTATATTCGAAGGAAATTACTTTTATGGTATGTTTCCTTTTAAAACTACGTTTCCCAAGGTGCCTTGAGTTTTGGGCGGAAATTAGAAACCGTAGAAGGGAGGAGGAGTTGTTTTTTTTTTTTCTTTAATCCTTTCCGACGGCGGGAACGTAACTCAGGCGGGGAGCTTATCTTGGATTCCTCTGCTTCTCCTTCTACTTTTGGCTTCGGTTTAATCCTTTTCGGTGGCCGTCATGGTTCGGGGGCAGGAGCGAGTGGTGGCTTTGGCGGATATGGACTGTTTCTATATACAGGTGGAGCGACGGCTGGATCCCCGTCTGCATGGAAAGCCGTGTGTCGTGGTGCAGTATAAGACGTGGAAAGGTGGCGGGTAGGAAGCTCCTCTTTATAGGCTGGGAACAAAATGAAGTGTTGGATCAGTGTTTCTCAACCTTGGAAGCTTGAAGATGGGTGGACTTCAACTCCCAGAATCCCCCAGCCAGCGTTGCTGGCTGGGGGATTCTGGGAGTTGAAGTCCACCCATCTTCAAGCTTCCAAGGTTGAGAAACACTGTGTTAGATAATCGAGGCGAAGGAATGACTCGCTTCAGAAAACAAAGGAGCCGTGTCTCCTTCCGGCATTGTTGGTTAAAAGAACCACAAACAAACGGCAACTTCGCGGAGATACGTTTTAACTTAATTCTACTTTTCTTTGAGCCAGGTTGGTGTGATAGGATACAAGCCGACTGGGTGACCTTGCGCCTCTCCCTCTCTCTCAGCCCTAGGGAAAGAGGGCAGAATTTGTGAAATATTGCCAAGAAAACTGCAGGGATTAGTCCAGTCAGTCAAAAAGCCAATTCAAGGACACAGACAAAAAAATGTCTTCCTTTTGTTAACAAGCATATTATTTACCATAAGGGAAAAAATGCCGAATGTCTTCAGTATTTTGCTTTGCATACATATCTAGATTAAATAATGTATTCGTAAACAGTAATGGGAGAAAATGTTTCATGTATCCATGTTATTTCTGGGCCAGCTTCTACTGTGTCCTCATTTTAAATATCAGGTCTCTCTCAGATTGCTTCTCTAAAATTTGTCTGGTCCTTTACTGTTGTGTTTTATATATAGAACTCTAGAATTCTTGAATAGGATAATTTTTGCTTAGCCTCGCCCAAAATATGTATTTTTAACCTGGGGGAGGGGGGAACCCTAGCTGTCAATTATCACAGGTTTATAGCCTCTGAATGTCTTCTAAAAATCTTTAGGAATGAATGTTCCCTCAAAATGATTAAATATTCTATGGTTGAAGAAGAAAATCCTGAGAAGTATTCAGTGTGTAGCTGATACTGTGAAATCTGTGAAAGTTCTCCTGTCTAATGCTAAACGTTTTGTCCTTCATGTAATGTCTAATATATTTCCCCTCATGGTATTCAGGATAATTGCTGTCAGCTATGAAGCACGTGCTTTTGGAGTTAAAAGAAACATGTGGGCTAATGATGCCAAGAAGCTGTGCCCAGATCTCGAGTTGGCTAGAGTGCCAGAGGCCCGTGGCAAAGCAGATCTCACCAGGTAAACCTGAGACTGGTAGCTTTTTACAATTTCTCTTGTCCCCCATCTCATTGGGTGATTGTGAAACCATCTGAAACAAGCAAACAAAGATGTTTCCGTATGGTTCTTAATCACAGCTGCTTTTTGGTGAATTTTCTGCTTTTGGAACTTATGTTTGTTTTCCAAACAGTTTAAAGAAATATGTTAACCTGCCTCTTAAAAACTGGATGCAGTACGTTCAGTCTATTCTTCTTTAAAAAATATAATCATACGGTAACAGTATTCAGGACAGTGATGTAATAGTACAACTAGGAATGAATTAGATGAATTTCTGCATGTATGTGTATGTGTGGCAAACCGGACAGGGTTTTACTTCATTTTTTAAAGTATTTAAAGCCCGAAGCTTTGCATATCTCATTTTCTATTCATTTTACTACGTCTTACTGAAGATCATAGAACTAGAATCACCATGAATAGTTTCTTGCTGAATTTTAATGTACAATTTCAGAGTTTTTGAAGCTATACAAAAACAAACAAAAATGGTGTTGAAGGGTTTTCATGTAAGTTGTCAAATGCTACAGATCCATCACTTTGATGGCCAGATTTTTATTAGAGTCCTGAGATGGAAAGGACAGGATAAACAGAAATAACAACATATATTTGGTGTCTCCATGTAGATATAGAGAAGCCAGCATAGAGGTGATGGAAGTGATGTCACGTTTTGCTGTGATTGAACGTGCCAGCATCGATGAAGCTTATCTGGACTTAACACAAGCTATACAGGAAAGGCTGAAGAAGATGAAGGGTCAACCTATTTCAATAGAGCAATTGGGAACTACGTATATTCAAGGATTCCCAAATAGCCTTGAAGAAGAAGAAACTACGGACAACAAAGGTAGTGGGGGGCGGGGGGAGGGGAGAGAGAGAGAAAGACTCCATTTCAGGCCAGTTATGTTTTCTGGGGAATTGAATAGCATTTGCAAGCAGATTGGATTCTCTCACTCAACTGCATTCACTTGATCATCTGTGAATTTTGCTATTAGGGATGAGTTGAGATTGTCACATTGAAGCTGGAAAAACTTTCGGTACTACTTATTCTTTTTACCTAAACTAGAATATAGGGAACCAACGACTGGTTTCCAACATTTCTTGTTTACTTATGGAACTAAAAGATTCATTCATGCATGCTTTTCTCACTTAAAGGTTTAGCTCACTGTTTGAATTCCAGAAAAATCAAGATAGAATACCAACACAAAATGCTCATTCTGTGTGCTGACTCTCTAGGACTGTGGTCTCTTTTACACATGTATACATTCCAGCAAGGCTTGTTTAGTCCAATTTAGGGACTTTTCTCACATCTATTTTTTTTAGGAATCATGCTCTGATATATATTCTTCAAACTTTTATAATGATATTTTTTATACATGTTGTGTAAACTGAAATCTTCCTGAGCAAACCTTTATGCCATTTGAATAGGTCTCACATACTCCAGTCATACAAATGCATGGTGTAAGGTTATATATTATTACTGTACCATGGCATTATATGAGTGACATTAAGATGCTAAAAACAGTTTATTGGTATATTGGTATGTGGTTCATTAATGAATATGGTTATAAATGGTTAACAGTCTAGCAAGATGCTTACTTTGAATCTGTTTGTGTTCTTTTTTAGAGGAGATAAGGCAACGTGGTGTGTGCCAGTGGCTCAAGTCATTGCCTTTTGGAGATCCCAGCAATCCAGAATTGCAGCTGACAGTAGGGGCAGCGATCATGGAAGAAATGAGGGCTGCTGTGGAGTCTGTCACTGGATTTCAATGTTCTGTTGGAATTTCTCACAATAAGGTATTGCTTGCTTGTTTTCTAATGTTGAACTCACTAACACTCAACACGTAGAACTCTTGATTAGTCTATGTCAAAATCTGTAGCCAATGAATGCAGGAAATATAAAAGAGAGAAAGAGGAAAGGAAAGACCTTGAAGCACTTGGGGAATTCTGTTGGATAATACTGAGGGGATGCTGTTTCAATCAATTGGAATAGAGCTGGAAGGGACCTTAGAGATCTTCTAGTCCAACCCCCTGCTCAAGCAGGAGACCCTATATCATTTCAGACAAATGACTGTCCAGTTTCTTCTTAAAAACCTCCAGTGATGTGAAACCCACAACTTCTGATGGCAAGCTGTTCCATTGGTTAATTGATCTCACTGTTAGGAAGTTGCTCCTCAATTCCAGGTTGCTTCTCTCCTTATTAGTTTCCAGCCATTGTTTCTTGTCCTGCCCTCTGGTGCTTTGGAAATAAGTTGACCCCCTCCTCTTTGTGGAAACCTCTCATATACTGGGATATTGCTATCATGTCTGCCCCTCCCCACCCCCCACCCCCAGTCCTTATTTTCTCTAGACTAGCCAAACCCAAATCCTGCGACCATTCTTGATATGTTTTAGTCTCCAGGCCTTTAATTATCTTAGTTGCTCTTCTTTGCATTTTTTTCAAAATCACAACATCTTTTTTGTAATGTGGTGACCAAAACTGGATGCAGTATTCCAGGTGTGGCCTTACCAAGGCTTTATGAAATGGTACTAATACATCACGTGATTTTGATTCTATGCCTCTGTATGGGGTAAAGAATTATTTTTTAGTTGTTATGCCCTAAAATATGCTTATGAATAGAATAGAATAGAATAGAATAGAATAGAATAGAATAGAATAGAATAGAATAGAATAGAATAGAATAGAACACAACACAACACAACATAACTCAACTCAATTCTGTATTGGCCAAGTGTGATTGTTTCCAGTGCATAACTCACATTGTACCTACAAGCAACAAGTGATAAATCATGATCATAATCATAAAATATATTCATCATAAATTATAAGGTACAACACTTAGTGATAGTCATAGGATACTAAATAAGCAATCAACATAAATTATAAGATATAAGTAACAAAGTTATAGTCATAAGAAGATAAGGAAATAGGAAAGATGAGAAGGATAATAGTAATACAGCCCTACTAGATAGTTTGACAGTGTTGTGGGAACTAGTTGTTTAGCAGAGTGATGGCATGGGGATGTCCTTGTGTCTAGTTCCTTTTGTGTGCAATGCCCTATAGCGTTGAATAGAACTGAGGAAAGAAGTTGAAACGGTTTATGTCCAGGATGTGAGGAATCTATAGATATTTTCACAGCCCTCTTTCTGGCTCATGCAATATACAGGTCCTTAGTGGAAGGCAGACTGGTAGCAATTGTTTTTTCTGCAGTTTTAACTATCCATTGAAGTCTGTGTCTGTCTTGTTTGGTTGCAGTGCCAAACCATACAGTTAGAGAGGTGCAAATGACAGACTCAATAATTCCTTTGTAAACTGTATCAACAGCTCCTTGAGCAGTCTGAGCTTTCTCAGTTAGTGTAGGAAGAACATTCTTTTCATGACATTTTTGATGTTAGAGGTCCATTTTAAGTCTTGAGATATTATAGAACCTAGAAACCTGAAGGTCTCTACTGCTGATACTGTGTTGTTTATAATTGTAAGAGGTTGTGGAATAAGAATGCTTCTCCTAAAATCTATCATTTCTACAGTTCTGAGTGTGTCCAGTTCAAGATGAGTCATCATCTGATTTGCCTAACTGCTCCCCACTGAGATATATGCCACATAGCAGAGTGGATTGGGTGCTGTTCCCCCATCTCTGGGAAGAGAAATAGTTTCTGCAAGCCTAATATGAGCGAGAGAGAGACCTAGGGCTCAGTTATACTCCAGGTCAACCTCCTCATCCATGGTCAGATCAAGGGGGAGGGAGATCTTATTTATTAACTTGGCATTTAGCAACAACACCTGCAGGCCAAAAGGCAAGCTAATATGATTATCACAGTCCACCTTCATAACAAAAGGTGGAGGCAACTGGCACAAGTTATCTCGTCTTTTTTCTTCATAACCTGACCTGTTATTTTTCCCAAAAGACACTTCCATCTGCCTATCTAACTGGAGCCACCTCATTCCCTTATATAATTGCAGGAATGTCCTAAACTCTTAGAAAGTTAGTCAAGTCTGAAGTGGCTTTCCCTATGAGGTGAACATTCTAAGTCTGCTACCCACTCAGGATTAGTTTTACTCCACTTAACCCTTCAAAGGCTTTTGGGACAAACTGGAATAAGCACCCACAAAATGGAACAATTCTATTCTGGACCAAAAAAGCAAGTAGCCCAAGTTGAAGCAAATGTAGTATTCTCCAGGATTCTACACTGCTGTGAACATATCACTGTATCCAAGTTTGCTTTAAAAGTTTTTGTAATTTTATACATCCTGGTATTAAGAATGAATACAATTCTGTTGGGTGTTTTGGCCACAGGATGAACTAAATGCAAATAACAGATGAGAATAAAAATGAGGGAAAACATGAAAATTTATATTTTTGGACCAGATATAATTTCCTTTTGGTTAAGTGGGTTACATGTGTCATTGTGTCTTTGAAATTCCACAATATAGTGCTTATTTTTATATACTTTTGAGTAATAGTGTTTGCACTATGTCCTATATTTTGATTTCTTTTGTTCTAAAATTTGAATGTAGGAAATTGAAAAGCCACTGTTGCTAAACTAGCTGTTTGGTTCATTTCAGGTATTAGCAAAACTGGCCTGTGGCCTCAACAAACCAAATCGACAGACTCTGGTATCACAGGGGGCTGTTCCTCAGCTCTTTAGCAAGATGCCAATCGGCAACATGTACGTAAAACTGAGGATATAGCCATGAATTTCAAAGTTATCCTTTTCTCCTGCATGTTACTACTTGGGCATATTTGTGCTTGATTCCTACTAGTATAGGCAGAAACTACTTATTCATTACTGTTTCTGTCAACATGCTTTAGCTATTTGTCAAATAGAGCAAATCCTGCAGTCTTTCCGTCTTTTGCTGATTGATACCCAGATCTACTATCTTTTTTTTCTCCATTCAATTGATTTCTTTTTCTCCTGTAGTCGCAACCTTGGAGGGAAACTAGGTGCTTCTATTACTGAATGCCTCGGAGTGCAATATATGGGAGAGCTGATCCAGTTCAATGAATCACAACTTCAGACACATTTTGGAGAGAAGACTGGGCAAGTCACTTCTTTGAAATTTTGGATTCTATGTGTTTTCTTTTTCTGCTTAGGCCCGTGATGGCATGAGCCAGAGGTGGCATGCTGGCCAGCTGTCTGGTGCACATGTGCGCAACGGAACCTGGAAGAGCAGCTGGCCTCTATGCACATGCGTGCTGGCCAGTTGCTCCTTTCTGGGTTCCGGTGCTCTGGCGCGCACGCACACGTGCATTCCAGTTTTGGCACTCAGTGCCGAAAAGGTTAGCCGTCACTGGTATAGGCTGTTCAGTACTTAACTTGGAATGGAGTGTGTAGAAAGTAGGCTAGTTCTGCTGAGAATCTGAATCTGTATGATCTGATGTTTTCTTTTGCTTATTCACTTATTCCAAGGGAAAAATAGACATTTTAGGAAACAATGAGAAACAAATGCAGAATTGCATGAAATATGTTCTATTTTGAAATGAAGGGTTTTCAGTTAAAAAAAATCAGCCAAATGTGATAACAAATAAATCATAAGACTAGTTGATACAATGCGAGGCTATTCTAACCCCCTTGGAATGCTGTTTGGATTGACAAATGGGATAATCAGTGAATGCGTGCCAAATGAAATCTTCCTCTAATAGCTTTCCAGCTAATATAGCAATGTATTGAATTATATCCCCAGCTTCCCTTCAGCCACAAATATTGATCTCTTGCAGTCATCTTTTTATGTTTTTTAAATGATATCTAATTTGGTCTTCTGTTTTTACTTTACTGAGCTCAGCGCAGAATTCATCGATGTCTTAAAATACAACAAATGCAAATGGGAATATGTTGTTGTAATGTAAAACAGATGGGCAGAGATGGATGGCCTCTGGGTGGCCAATGTTACTTTTGGTTTGTAGTACCCCACGAAATGATATTAAGAATTTAAAAGAAGAATTTATGATTTCCAGTGTTTCAACAGTAGGAGCAGTAATTCAGAAGATTTATGGATATAAAAATGTAGATACATATAATCTATTTGGATACTGAAAACTAAATCCTATGTCAGAGACTCTGTGTTCCTTAACTCTGTATCTGCCTTTTTGAGCCATTATTTTGCACCTAGTTGGGTGACTGGGATCTACTGAGCAAAATGTGGCTTTAATGGAAATATATAAATGGTACTTAATGTTCATTAAATTATCCATTTTGGAATCCTTTATTTTAAATTGATGCAACTTCCAAATATTTTGGATAATTAAACGAATAGCAACATAAATCACGATTAGTTGCAAACTTAGAAGTATTATTTACTTGGGGTTCTATGTATGATTTACAGATCCTGGTTATATGAACTGTGCAGAGGAATTGACTTTGAGCCTGTGAAAGCTAGACAATTGCCAAAGTCCATTGGTTGCAGTAAGAATTTCCCTGGAAAAACAGCATTGGCTACTCAGAAGCAGGTAAAAAAGTGCAGAGAGAATAGCATGTGGTTTGAACTGGCAAGCGTTGAGCCAATTGGAATACATTTTGGCAATACATTTGGAATACATTTTGGCAAAATTTATATAGGCTTATTAATTCAGAAATCCAAAATAACTGCCCCTTTGTTATACTCCTTAATTCTAGTGCAAACTATATAGAAATATTCACAGCCAACCAACTGCCTTCTCATTAACTGGAGTATAACCTATTATCCTCCCATTTTAGGGTGGCTGCATATTCAGATTAGCAATAAAGAGGCAGAGACACAAAATGTCAATTTAGAATAGCAAATAACTCTTCTACTACCGTACTGCATGGATAAATATAATTTGCTGTTGGAGGAAGGGGCTTAAGACTTGCACCATTAGAATCATTGCACTTAGTTCTTCAGCAATCAGTAAAGAGACTGTTGGAAAACCTCCTTTGACAGTTCAATCAGTGGGAATACCCTATAGCTCTTATAATATATTGAAATAATTTGGATTATAGATTTCTTGGACCATAAGCAGAAAGTTATTCTGCTCTGTATTTCGGTACTTTTCCAGCTGCATAGATTATGTGATATTGATTTTGTATTGCTGTTATATCTATGTATACATAGATTCTGATTCTGATTTTGAAGAGATGGGAATCTGACAGTTCAGAAAACAAAGATTTTATTTTGATTTGATTTTAAGTTAGCAGCATATTAACCATAGTCCTAAGATTATAACTGTATTGTAATGTTGTCTGAAGGTGCAGTATTGGCTCTTGCAGTTGGCCTTGGAGCTGGAAGAGAGATTGAATAAGGATAGAGACCAGGTAGGCATAATGTTATCTAACCAATATATATTTGTATAGAACTGAAACATATATGGGAGAACAGCTTTTGCTATTTGATGGGATTTGAACAGTTTAATTCAGGGCTTTCTCACAAGTATTTTGCTGCAGAATTGACTACCATGATCTTGAGTATAATTTCTGGTGATAAATAAATGGATGTCTGCTCTGAAGAATGAAAATAATGAAAAAAATTCAGTAGGATGGGCAAGGAGGAAACAAAAGATTGAAAAAATGAAAGACAATCATTTTAAAAGCCTGCTGAGGCCATTTTTTCTACAGTCTTTGTTCCTTTGCACTAGCTCAGAGTTTCCTGTTTCTTAATTCATTGTCTATTTCTTAATTCAATTAATCCATTCATGAATGGATGCATTCTACTGCCTCTTGGCCCAGATGGAAGAAAGAAAAATAGAACTAAGGCTGAGTTGGGAAGGGGCTACAGCCACAAACTATAGAAATCTTAGGCCTGCTTTTCTACTGGGATAAAATTCTAACCCTTTTCTGTTGTTTTCTTGTTACGGTCTTTTATGAATCTATTTCCATCATTTATTTAATATATTTATTTTCTCACAGAACAACCGGGTAGCTAAACAATTGAGCGTTGGGATCCATATGCAGGGTGGTAAACATACCAATCTAACGCGCTGCTGTGCCTTGTCCCAGTATGATGCTCAAAAAATTAGCAGAGACGCCTTTGCACTAATCCAGAACTGTAACACAGCAGCAGGCCAGCAAGCGACATGGTAAGAACTTTACTTCTTGAATTTAAGAATAAGCTACTGTGGAGGGGGAAAAATGGTTCCTATCCTTGCTGCTTAAATTTTGTCATGTGCAGTAAGAGTTAGGAGATGAAATATAATAATAGAATGAGATCAGTAGGAACTTTTTTTTGTTTGAAAAATAAGGGTTACCAGGCATATACTGGCTCATTAGAAGATTCTGTGCATGATGTTGGCAAAGAAGCTAGTCATATAGTGTGAGAAGGAAAATTTGCATTAAAAAATGGGACAGAACAAAATTTGGAGTGCTAGTTATCAATTAGAAGTCAGTGGTGTATCTTGCTTGGGTAGTTATTTTTGAACTAAAGAAAGAAAAAACCTGAAAGGAAGTACTAACTAGGAGAAAGAGTAAACAGAAAGAATAATTTTGGGACAGATTCTTCCATGCTTACAGAAGTCAAATTACTGGAAAAATTATAGTCTAGTTTAGTTTTGAGAGTGGTTTTCTTTTGAAATGCTTGATAATTTGCTTCTATCATTAGGTCTCCTCCTGTTACACTTCTTCAGCTCTGCGTAAGCAAATTTTCTGAGGCATCTACAGTATCGTCTGTGGACATTACTTCCTTCCTGACTAATCAGAGCCAACGTACTCAACCCACCACTGCCATTAAAGAAACCATGAATGCAAAGTTCCTTGAAAGTCCCAAAAAGGAGACCAGCAAGAAGGCAGTTAATGCTATTGAAATACTCTTTCAAAGGGCAGCAAAAAGAAAACAAGCCCAGGCTGTCGCTGGCTGTTTTGTTCCTGGTGTAAGTGATATGATAGTACCACCGGCTATTCAGACCAAGAGTTCGCACAACAGCAGCCAAGTTTCAGAAGGCTTAACGGAAACAAGCAACCCAAACATGATGCAGAAACAGCAGGTGATGGAACAACGGTTGCAAGATGCCACTTTGACTGGTGAAGGCTATGTATCATTTTCAGAAATGAAAATTCTTCCTGATTCATTTAAAAAAGAAAACATGCAGACTGCTCCTGGGCTTTTGCAGGAGGGAGCTATGAGTTTGGCTGATCCCTCTTCAATGGATGATAGCTTGTTGTGTGAGAAATGTAACCAAAAAGTGGCAGTGTGGGAGTATACTGAACACTTAGATTACCACTTTGCTGTAGAACTTCAGAATTCTTTCTCGGGATCTAACTCTTTCAGATCAGTTGAATCTCTTGCCAGTCCAATGAAGGAGAAAAATAAATCAAGGGAACAGAGAACCACCAGTGCCAAACGACCAAAGCAAGATGGGACTAGGACTTTAGATTTCTTTTTTAAACCATTGCCACCATAGTTGCTCACTTGAGTAACTGGTGACTTAGAAAATGTACTTTCCCTATTAAACTAATCCTAATAAATTATTCCTTAAACCGTAATCTTTCTGGGAGCTAATGAATGGGAATAAAAATCTGTAATCAAAGGTATGCTATCTGCAGGGCCTTCTGTTACTTTATTGACAAGATGACAATGGACAATGTGACAATGAAATTGTGTTCTGCTAATAGTTCTGTAGTTGTCCCATGACTAGTTTTAAAATGGAGCTCTGTAAGTAAAAATTTTCTACCATCTTTCTATCATGTAAAAGATTTGCTTATTTCAGAAGTCTTGCATTCATGTAGAGGTTCTAAGAGCCAGATTACAGTCAAGATTACCATGAATGAACCAGAAATTCATAAATTCGTAAAATCTCTGATCTCCGTGTATTTCGCTGTGCCCTCAAAACCTTGTTGTTCTGCCAGGCTGGGCTATCAATGTAAAGATTTTTAATTGGTTTTAAATGGGATTTAAAATTTGGGGTTTTATAAATTGGGCCTATTATTTAATAATTTTAATTATTTTTAAACTTTGTCTGTCTTTGTGCTTTTAATTAGGCTGTACACCGCCCTGAGTCTCGGGAGAAGGGTGGTATAGAAATAAAATAAATAAATAAATAATAAATAAATAAATGAGTGAAAATCGTAAGCAATCTTGATATTAGAAAGCACAGAATTTTGGATTTGATTTTAAGACAGGAGAAAAATCTAGTCTTCCCACAGATGGTGGATTACAACTTCTATCACCCTTTTCTAACTGGCTCTGCTGGATTGATAGCATTGAGGAATCCATAACCTTTGGAAAACAACAGTTCAGTTCTCACTTTCTTGGTTTTTTTATTTTATTTCTTAAGAACCTTTCCATATGTTTGAATGCTTCTTTTTCTAAACTTGTATAAAAAGCCTCTTAATATACTTTTCTATTTTTATTTGTTTGACTGTAGGCATTTCTCAGTAACAATATTGTCTCTTCTGGGAGTAGAATTCTATGTTGTTTAGGTCAAGCATTCTTTTTAGTAAATGAAACTATCGTATGCTAAGACATAGGCCTTATGGTTCCAAAATGCTAAACCATAATGTAAATAGGATTTTTTTTGTGCGCAACATAATGCACCATCCCAAGAAAAAATACTTATTTATTTGAATTTATTAGCCACCCAACTCCAATGGCCTTTATTTTATTAACCGCCCAACTCCAATGGCTTTTATTTTTCCAAAGCCAAACAGTAAACAACAGCCCAATGAAGGAGGCACCAAGACCACTCCCACCAAGACCACTCCCACCAACACTGACAGGGTAAACTACTAGTGTATAAAATCAGAGCAAACGCACTCCCTACTACTGTGTTTCCCCCAAAATAAGACCCTGTCTTATATTTTTTTAAACCCCGAAATAAGTGCTTGGCCTTATTTTTGGGGAGGTCTTATTATTTTGGGGCGTGTGGAGCAAGATGGGGCTCCTCTTGCAGTTTTACCTGATTTCCAGCTCTGCATTTAAATATTTTCAGGGAGGGCTTATTTTCAGGAGGAGGGTTATTTTAGCCCATGCGCTAAAAAGCCTGATTGGGCTTATTATGAGGGGATGTCTTATTTTTGGGGAAACAGGGTAGTACTGATAATGTTACCTAGTTTGTTAATGAAACATCTGCAAGAAAACAACCAAGTTCAGAGAACATCAAAGACTCCACAGTTCAACCCTCAGCTAGAAATATTCTCTTCTATAATTTGTTCTTTTTATCTATGACAAAATTGCACGATGGAATAATCTTAATTAAAAATAATGTACTATTGGATAAATCAGGACTGTCAAACTCCCGGCCCACGGGCCGGATGTGTCACACATTGGCTACGTCCACACCCAGTTTAGCGAAGGGGGGAAAAGAGTCCCGATACGTCACGTGATGATATGACGATGTGAGTTTGACACCCCTGGGATAAATAGTCTCATTATTTTGGATCCACTCATTTGGAAGAACCTGTTTATAGCCTTTGCAGCATTTATTTTGATCTACCTTAGAATACGTCTTGGCATTACAATATATGCAACTTAAGTATTTGTTATTTGAATCTGGATCTGTTAACACTGCAGTTGTCAGAAGAGCTGGAAGAATCATCTGTGGCTCCTAAACCAGTAATCCTTCTTTGTAAGAAGTTGAAGGAAATTGGTGAAAGTGATATTATTTACATGATCTTTGGAATGCATGCTTAAATGTCCTGTCCTATAAACCAATGGAGAGTTGTATTAAATGTGAAATTAACTTCCTATAATCTTAAAATGAATGTAGTGCATTTAAAATTTGCTTTGTTTTATGAGATGCCCCAAATAAAATTTAGCAAGGATTGGTTAGTGTTCCTGCTGATGGAGATATAATTTAGGGGTTGGAGCATTCCCATATGGTTTGCTCTTATCCTATTACTGTTCTGATGACAATTTTGGATCAATCACATTATGTTAAATACACACATATGTTTCTTTCGCATATTCCAGTATTTGGAATGTAGCAAAAATTGTGAAAATTTTGGGCCTGGAACTTGGTTAAATGAATTTAAAGTAGGGAGAAGTCCATACCGGCCTTGCAAAAATGCAATATTGCTATATTTGAATTAATATATTTTTTAAAGGGGGCAAGGAATACTGTCATCATCAATATTATCAACATTATTTGAATTCTGTTTGACATTATTTTCTGAACTTGTGTATTTCTGTCTTTATTACTCATTACTATGCTTACGAATTTTAGAATATATTGTTCTTTTAATGCTTGAGTATGCATTTTCTTTTTTGTTGATTAGTTTAGCAAAATAAAACTTATTGCTTCCAGATACAATTCAGATTTCTATTATTTCTATGATTTTTAATGTATTTTAATATGTGTTTAATATGTATTTTAACATGTTTCTTACTTGGATTGGGATTGTATATCTTAATTGTTGTGAGCCGCCCTGAGTCCTATGGAGATAGGGCAGCATATAAATCTAATAAAAATAAAAATAAATAAATACATATTTATAAAGTTTACATAGCATAAAGCCTGGTTACTGGAGGACCGCCCAACTCCCATATCATCTATCCAGCCGATTTGAAACTACAGCAATGGCACACTCCCAGTTCCTTTTGATTAATATTCTCCATTGGTATCCCAGCACACCTCCTCTTTAGCAGTGCCTGTTTTCTGGAATGAGATCTCTTCCACCTTGAGATCCATGCTGTTGTTTAAAAGGACTAGAAGACCTGGTTCTGTGCTGAGGACTTTGGCCAGGGAGAGTGAAAACATTTGTCTGATTTAAATTTTTTTTTTTACTGGTTATTGTATTTTTCTTTAGTTATTGTGAGCCACCCAGAGTAGTCTATGTGTGTGTGCATGTGTAAGCCTGAAGTTTAATAGGAATGATTGACTTCTTTGTAATACTGCTTCATTCTATTGCACTTCAGAACAACAGGAACTAATATAGTGTAGCTGATGTTACATAACAACCATTGCAGCACCAACAAATGGGTTAAATAAAAATTCCTCTCACAATTAAGAGTGTCAGTTATTAGACTAAAGAAACAAGATATATGATTAATGATATACTATTTCAGTATTTATAAACTGGTCTTGAACTTTATTAGTCAAAGGATTTTTGCTTTTGTAAGTAACCTCAGGTATCATTAAGTATAGTATATTTATTCAAGGCACTGAATCTATATCCCAAACTCTCATTATGAAATGCTTAGCACATACTGTATTTGGTAATGTCAGATAAGCGTATACTAGCTTGTAAACATGACTGTACAAACATCTGAAACTAACAAAGTCAGGGCAGGATAAGAACACTTTTTCAGAGCCAAAACTATTAAGGGACAGAGCAAATTACACAGTCCATTTAGAGCAAACCACAGCTTTGTTTTCTCAATAAAGCATCTTTATTTTGTGCATTATACAGAAAGATGAAAACTTCCCTCTCCTTTTAAGAAATCACAAACAGTGAATATGAAAGGCTTGGCATTGAGAACACACACACGTAATAAAAGGCAAGGGAAGGAGGAGACCAGGAAACGCCTGGACTTGAGGGTAGAAAAAGCACCTTGAATGTTTACATTTGCAATGGGTCAACTTAACCATCACTGTAAACTGCAGAGAAAGCATATATTCCTACCACAGGATAAAATCTCTCAGAAGGTATCTAGAAAGCCAGTTTTTCAAAATGCTTGTATGTAATTAAGGGGAACTTCAAAAGAAAAACTGCCAACAAATAGCCATGATATTGAACTATTTTCTTTTATCCAGGGAGGTGAGTAAAGACTTTTCTTAAAAGGCTATATTAAATAAAAATCTTTCTATATGCGCAGACTTAATAGTAACATGTTATATCCCAGGAACAGTTGCTCTGAATAATCTAATCTCTGTACAACAGAGATGAAACAGCAGAATGGGGAATCGAGTGGAAGGATAAAAAGTCATATGTTTTACTGGCCATGTTAGCTCGTTTATTCGAGCCCTTGATGCAACAGTGGTTAAAACATACAATAAAAATAACATCACAAACTTTACAAATCTTAATAAAAAGTGAAGGTATCTTTCAGTATCTGAGACCATTCTATCTGATGGCCAATTCAGAAATTCCGCTGTACTTTCAATAAGTCATAGATTTAATCTTAGGTATAAAGGTGATTTTCTGCAAAAGATACTAGTAATACAAATGATAGCAGATGGCAAAGCTGAATGAGAGAATTAGAATTGCAGGAGCACTCCCTATATTGTAACAGCTAGAACAGCCTTTACTGGTACGACCATTGGAAATAAAGACTTGCCCCAAGAAATAGGTTGGACCTGGATATCCATATCTCAGAAAAGTTAAAAATATCGAAAGATACAGCAATCAAAATTGCCAGCCACCACTCACTTCAAGAAACAAGCAACATAGGGTCTGATGCAGCGGTGAAACACTACCACCCCGGTTCTATCCAGTTCGCTGAACTGGTAGGGCCGGCGGTGGGAGGCTCCGCCCACCCATCGGGATATCATTATGTCCCGTTTTTTACCATCTATGCATGTGCAGAAGATTCTGTGCATGCACAGAAGTGCGCACACGGACTCCTGCACACTCCTGTTCCCGAACTGGTAGAGAAGGTAAGTGGATTTCACCACTGGTCTGATGATATACTGGGGCAATCTGCTCTAAGAAGTTGCTTAGGTAGGGCACTTGCTGAGGAACAAATGGCTAACAAAGTGGCAGGGAAATCTGACAGTATCAAGAACTGAGCTGGAGAACTGTGGTGCTATCAGATGAGGGCTATTTTAGAGCAGAGGATGGGCGGCCTGTGTCCCACAAGTAGCTTTCCATTGCATCCCTAGCTCATGCTGGTGAAATTTGGTAGAACCACTGATTTTCAGTGGCATGTTTTTTTTAAAAGATTTTGTGATGAGTATAGCTGCATAAGGCCTCAGAGAAATTATATGTATCCATTTACATAAAAGCTTCCACCCTCCTCTCCAGTTTAGGCAGAACATTTCAACCCATCTACCCTGGCAATGTCATTGCATCACCAACTATGGATTCTGCAGTTATAGGAGTGCCCGTTAAAAAAAAAAAACACTTCATGGCTCCAGTCATGAAATTGTTACCTACCCCTGCATTAGAGGGATTTCTTCCTCCTGTATTCCCCCCTCTCTTTTTTTAAGCTGGTAGGGATTTACCCACAAAGGTGGAGGGAGAAGAAAGACTCTTCATTACTGGCTTAATGTGAAACCAACAATAATTTAAAATGATTAGAAACATCTTGAGCCGTACTGTAGGCAGTACAGAACGTTAAGCTCTAGTTCCTAATAATAATAATTCATCTGCCATAGAAAGCCTGCAAAACCAGGCACTAGGACACCACTAATACCCTTCTGAACACAAACGAGTCCACCATTGTTGCTCCCAGGCAGCAGCACCCCAAAATTACAGTCCAACTCACTATGGATATGCCCTTCTCTGGAAATAACTTCCCCCACAATGGTCAACAAAAGCAGGATGTCCAACTTAGTCAAAGATGCAGCTGTTTGCTTGTCTATTCCAGGAAAAGCAGGAATATGGAAGTAAGCAGGTGATGCACAAACAACAAGCTTAACTTGCTCCAGGAAGGGCACTCAGTCCAACAGGTAACTCTGGCTTCTGCAGTGCAGACAAGATGTGCCTATGTAAATTGATTGGCCAACAATGGCTCTGCACAATGGCATGAAATCTTTCCCTTATTCGGAGCACTGAGAAATGCTGGTGTGAGTCAGAAGCTGACCGGATCAGGACACAGATTGTGTTGCAGGCCATTTTCTCCAGTGGTGATAGCCTGGATGGATGTGACATGTCCAATACCTTTGGTAACTCCTTCACGAAACAATAATTTGGCTCCTATCTTCAAATATTCAGGATGTTTAATGAATCTGAAACGAACCACTGCCTTTTCTCCTGTTCGCAATTTGTCCTGAATAAAAGGGAAAGTATCTTAGAATTTTAAAAGTTCAATTGTTTATTTTAGGGATTCCAGAAAACCATGGAAAGCAACTTAGCATACCCTTGAGTTTCTGAAATTTGCAGTGGGTTTATCTGTGAAAACGACAAGAAGAATCCCCCTTTATTTTGTAATACTCAAGATTGAATATGTAGTGCTCCCAACTTGTATTTTCCATAAAACAGCCACTCCATGGGTGGGTTGGATTGAGAAACAGTGGACTGATTCAAAGTCAGTTTCCATACCCTACAAAGGGTTAGAACTCAGGATTTCCTGGTTTCTAGTTCAGCAAGGGGAATCTCAAAGGTAAGGCTTAAAGTGGTTGTGACACAAGTGAGAAGACAATCAAGCAAATTTCTATTTAGCAAGAAAAGGGAAACTTACTTTCCCATGGATTTTTTCCACAACTGCTGTTTGTCGTACATTTCCAACATGTGCTGTTACTTGGAATCCTTTCCGGAAAGTTGTGGCATGGAACAGTAGAACAATTTCAGCTTCAAATACTGAACAAATAGTTGGGTTCATCTCTGGGCTGACCATCACCATGCCCTAAATGATAGCAAGATTGGATAACTGAATTTTCTTGACAATGGTACTCAACTCTTCCAAACCAAAGCACTACAGAGTACAATCTTTCCAGAAAGAAATCCTCATTTATTGCCCCAAAAGCCAAAGAAAGAAGGGGAGATAAGAATGTGGATGGTAAGCAGGGATGAGTGGGAAACATCTAACAGCTGACTAATCCTGTTTAAGAGTTCAATCTAATTATTTCTTTGTTCTTTTGAAACTCAAGACAATCACCTTAATGCTATAGTTCCCAGATTTCCCATCCCTTGAACTTAAACTTTACACCATAAACTGCGAAGAATTTATTATCCATCACATTTTGGAACATCTTCAAAAGCAGACGGTCCAGCGGAACCCAGCCAGCTATTGTAAGGGCCTCAGCTACCTTCCCAAGAAAGTAAAACTCTTGAAACAGTTTACATTTCAAAAGGAACTTTTACTGAGATAATGACTGCAGAGAAGTCAGGCGGAGTCTGAATTCAGGCGCAAAGTGTTAGGCTCAATTTTCCCCTCAACCCCCACCCCCAATGCCCCGTGTCCATCTGTAACCAATAACCTGCCGCAAAGATGTTGTGAGAATTTCCGAGGCTGGATGGTGAGAAGAGGGCCCTCGGGGCACCGCGACATTGAAAACCCGACTAGAACTGGCAGAGAGGGAGTCAGTGCAGATGGCCACTTCTCCCACCTCAATTCCCAAGCAGTTACGGAAAAGTGAAAGCATGCAAACCATTCCACCTGCGGTGCCTCCCCCCCCCGCCCCAGAATAGCAGCGTTCTGATAGGGACCTACATTTCCCAATATCCGTAAGGCAGGATACTTTATTTTCAGAAAAGGTATAGAGGAGAAGGTTTGTACAACCAAAGGCTCCAGAGAGCGATTAAGGGAGAGCTTACTTTGCGCAGCAGTGAGCGATCAAAGAGCCCAAGAGCTAGGGTGGCAGCCTGCCCAGCTCGAAGAACGCGACACGCTGAACGATTTCGTTGGATACTGCATACTTTCAGCTGAAGGAACTTGCCATCATCTGTTGGACCAACAACCAAATTCTCTCCCTCTTTGCATATCCCACTAGCAAGGGCATAAAAATGGAAAAGACCGCATTTAGCTGTCAGGAGGCAAGACAAGCCTTCTTTTGTGTCTAATTGAGATAATTATCTTGATGCAGGTTCTTTACTCTTGAAATATGAAAAATACCAAAGAGAAAATTTGGATCTGATATTCCAGAGAATAAATGTTTATGCTATATGCACAAAGAACATAGGACTCCTTTAAGGAATACTTTTATTTTTTTATTGGAGTGCAGTTTTATCTTCCTTGACTCATTCAGTAAGATACAAACTTTTAACTACATTTACTTATAACAAGAAAAGGAGAATAAAATGCTATTTCCTGGTTCTTCTTTTGGATCCAAGAAGTCTTTGAAACCATTCCCTATGACTGGCTTTTCCTTACAGAATCCATATATACCAACCTTGACAATGTTCCTCCAACAACTGTGCCTACCTCTGGCACAGTGTAAATTTCATCCACCTGTAGCAGAAAAAGAATGGAAGTTTCAAATATGTTGTGCTGGACTTAGTATTTCAAAGCCAGAGTTAACAATTTGACCTTTTTATTGTCAGACATAACAATACAAGTTCTTGTTTAGGAATTCTAAGCCTATCTTTTAATGTTGCCTTCCTTATACCACTTAGAAGCCTCAAGCATCCCAGTTCTCAATGAACCAATTATATTCTGGAAACATTTCCTAGGTGCAACTCAAAAGAAATAACCTGGGAGTCAATTCAATGATTGGTAGGACGTTAACAATGAGATTAAATAAAGAATGGTAAAGACAAATAAAGGAGGAGGAAGAGCTACAGTGGAACAGTGGTTAGAATGCAATATTGCAGGCTGACTCTGCTCACTGCCAGGAGTTCGATCCTTACCAGCTCACGGTTAACTCGGCTTTCCATCCTTCTGATGTAGGTAAAATGAGACTATTGGGGGCAATACGCTGACTTAAAAAGTGTTGTAGAGAACTATGAAGCAGTATATAAGCCTAAGCACTATTGCTATTGCTAAATAATAAATAGCATTAATTTGTCTTTGAATCAGAAAGTAATTACACTTGCTTGGTTTTATCATCCTCCCAATTCTAAATCCATGGAGCAGAGAATAAATAACCTGCCTTTGCATACTACAGCTGGAGACTCTCAACTGAGAAGAGACTATTGTGTACCTGGAATTCAGTGAGCTGTTGCATCAGCTCTTCCTGTTCTTTGCTGTTTGTCAGAGGAGGAAGGATATTGAGAAATACTCTCAGGAGATCCAGGTTCTCTCCAGAAACACTGGACAAGGTGAAGATGGGAGTGATACTGCAAACAAATGAGTGAAAGAAGCTGGTGATCCATGATGTTGTGCATCTCTATTAGTACTGAATACAATAGGAATGAGATTGGCTTCCACATGTGTAAGTGGAATGTGTAAATAATTAGGGAACAATTTCTGTATCCTATAATTTTTACAGAATCAAAACTTGGTACAGGGTAGTCCTTTACTTACAACTGGTCACTTAATGACCAGTTAAGGTGGACTTCAAAAAGGTTGATTGCTATCTGTCCTCAAAGTTACAACAGCTGCACCACCAGTGTTTGCGTTTCAGGTGTTTGGCAACTGGCCTGAATTTTTGACTGACTGCAGGATCTTACATTTTACAATCTTTTACCATTTTCCAGCAAACCTACTCATTGGATAAGCTGGATTCAGACTTATGACCATGTAACTCACCTAACAACCATCATAGAAATGGTCATAAAATTGAATCCAGTCAGGTGGTGACTCAACTTATGACCATAATGACTTAAAATTCCAGGCTCAGTTGTGATCATTAAGTCAAGGACGACCTGTATGCCCATAACTGTTCCATTCCTAAGTATGCAGTGTAGCTGCAGATGATCAAAGGCATCCGAAGCATCTAATGTTTTCTCAAAACAATGAAGCAAGTCTTGAGACAGTGTGACAGAAGCTCCTTTTCTTTCATACTTATGTGTAATATAAAGGGGGTGGAGCTTGCATCACAATGGCAGAACACTCGTTTCATCACCTGTTGTCCTCCAGTTCCATAAGTCACTTCAGCAGACTATCCATTTATTAAGTGTAAGCTATCCTGCAATATAAAAATCATCACCAAGAGTAAATACTATAAAATCAAAACAGCCCAAAGCAGAGAGTGAAGACATAAAACCAAAGAATATAATCACTTGAACTTTGCTTATTGTTCTTTGATATAAACCACTACCAGCTCCACAAATCTGACTCACTCACACCTTTCTTGCTAAATGCTTCATTTTGAAAGTGTGTTAATTTTAAATTGCATTCCCTACTCGCTAATCGTCTTCCCTCCCATTCAAACGGCCCGTGATTCATACTTGGGGGACTGTGCAAATTGCTGCGCTGCTGTAACTGCATCATCATCAGATGTTACGAGCAATGGAAGTTTGTTGCAGCCAGGTTGCTTCAGAATCCGCTCCAGCTGTTTCACTGTTCGCTCCACAGTGGCTTTTGAGCACAAGTCCACTTTGCTAATGACAATGAAGAAAGGCACTTTAAGGGCCATCGCCAAGCCGAGATGCTCCCGTGTTGTACCAGCTGTAAGAAATAGATGATAGAGAAAATCAGATGAAAAAAGTAGGACTTCAGTGCAGCTAAAACACACAACTCAATGCCATTTGTTTGAAACTAGTGGAAGTATTTCTATGTTGCTGTGGATGAGTCTTGTTTTAAACTACTGCAGGACTATCAAACTCCTGGCCCACAGGTCGGATGCATCATTTGCTGGCCATACCCATGCCCGTTTTAGCGAAGGGGGAAAAAGCCCCGATACGTCACCTGATGACGTGAGTTTGACACCCCTGAACTACTGCTACCCACTGGTTAACTATAGGCGTTATGTCACCCTTCTGAAACCCCAAGGAGAAATCCGACTATCCACTTACCAATTCCAGTATTGGCACTCACCACCAGCATTGCAAAATCTGGACAATAGCTTGTAAGCCCAAAAATGGTGGTTTTTAAATATTTGTGATGGCCAGCTAAATCAATGAAGGTAATCATTTTGGAAGAGCTCTCACAGATTTCTTCAGCTGTCCGTGAATCACTATAGTTCACCACCTAAAAGGCAGAAAACTCAGGTAACTGAGCTCTTATAAAAGGCCAAGTAAAAATTCATAGCCAGAGCTATAAAATGATAAACTTGGTGTACAAATACTCGTACCTCTCCCTTACTGTTGAAACCAAGAATTTCAAAGCTAATGCTAGATGTTCTTCCTGACTGGATTTCATGCAAGTGCCGGAAAAGATTGAGTCGAGCTCGGCCTCGCCCATTATCCAGTTCTCCTTGCGTCAAGACGCCTAATAAGGTTGATTTGCCTGAATCCACATTTCCAAGCACAGCCACCCGCAGATCTAGAAACTTAAAAGAAAATTGAGGAGTTGTGTTAAATTGTTCAAAAGATCAACTGATAAGTGCAAGTGAGGCTTGACTACTTTACAGATTAATGCACTAGGATACCAAATTTCACAAAGTTTATATAATTCTGAGGTATTTACAATAATTAATTCCCAAGTATTTGGAATTTAGTACTTTGCATTATAAAATATGCACAAGAAACTGAGTTTCAAAGTTTAACGTTTTCTATCAAATCATTTCTATCAATTATAGCTCTTCAAAGTCCCAGCAAATGTAGCAATCTAGAATGAAATATCTTAAGTTTTTCTCTCATGAAGTTTAAATCAGGTTGATTTTTACCTGTTGGTTATCTGGGACCTTTCGGACAAGAACTTCTGTTATCTTCCTAGGAATGTCACTGTCATAATCCACTTCTCTTTCTCGAAGAACAGTGATGTCAGCTCCCACTCTGCAAAGGGCAAAACAGAACACTGTTGGGGGTTAGTGAATCATCTGCAATCCCCAGTAGGACAAATATCTGGTTATCTTATAATGCTGCTCAGAAAAGCCTCTCACAAGTAAGCAATACTGAGGAAAATATATTTTCCAAATGATCTGATTTTTATCCACATAAATGTACATCTTTGCCAGTTTTGGAAGGCGCCATTCCCCTGAAATATATTTGCACAGATGTCAAACAGTTTCCTCATTTTAAGATCTGTAATAATTTGGGTTTATCTAGATCACCAGAAATGACAAATGTTCCACTAATTACATGTTCCCCATACCAGGACAGGGAGAGATAAAACTTTACCTAAATGAGGCTGAAGTGGGGGGCGGGGGGGGGAATGACAGCTATAGTAAAGCTACATAACTGTCATTAATACTAAATCTAATTAAGGTAAATGCTAATTATATTTCTGTGTTCAGTAGAAACATGTCAGGAATGGATCTCTTTCCAACATGAGCAAGCACCCACTCCCAAATGAATGAATGGGCACACTCCAGCCCTAGCCCTCCCATTCTGACACTCAACACCCATGGTCATGATTGTTGATAACATAAGTTCCTGCCATCTGGACAGGAGAAACTCATGAAAACTACAGAGACAATTGCCTACAATAGACAATCTTTGTCAAAAAATTGCCAAACCTTCCTGCCAAACTCTGCCCTATCTATATATCTATAGTGACCCCGTTCATTTACAGTTCCCTTCCCCTCCTCCCAAATATGACATATTTGCCCATCCAAAGGTTGCCCAATCCCACTTCAGTGTAATGGCACATAATAAAATATGCATAGCCACACACAAACTTTTTACAACTGAAACAATTAGTAGGTACTGTACCCATGTGGTGGTACTCTGAGAAAAATCTCTTGCTGAAACCATCTCCTCTGTTGGTTATTAGCTGAATTTCCAATATTAAGTCTACCTAAGACAGCAAAATAACAGAGGACACCATTGGCTAACTCTGGCCAAGAAGCAGGACAGATGCACATACTTCTCGGCCATCCGCCGTAGTGTTTTAAGAGAGGCGTGCATTTCTTCTTCAGACAGTCCAACAAGCAGCCCGTTGTCCTCTACACCAATCTGGTACACAGCCTCACCACGGCCTTCTTGTAGTCGCCACTTCATTTGCGTTACTAGATGTTCAAAGCGGTACTGAGATGGATTAACTAACTTCAGCTGTCCAAAGAAAGAAGTAATTATAATCAGCATCTAAGGAGGTCTGATGGAGCTGAACATTTTTTTCAGTATGTTCTGCACAATACTCTTAACATTTGTTAAGCTCCATGAAATTAAGCAAAGAAAGATCAGTGGGCAAGAAGACTAACAATTATTCAAAGGCACTCTGAAATAATTGAATAAAAAGGTTTTTTTAAATCTAAATTTAATAATACCCAGGTTCAGTATTCAAATGTAAAATAGTCAACACATCTATAAATAATGTTTTGGCAAAAATCATTCTTTTCTGTTATTTATCTCTCTCTCTCTTCCTAGACATGGAATTTACAGAATCATTTGGCTTAGAACTCTTAAATGGCTTGCACAAGAGACTCACCTTGTATTCTATGTTCCCATCTTCTGCCTATATACAAGAAGAAGAGATCTTAAATTAATGGATAATATGGTGTTCAACATTTCATATACAAAACTTGACAAAAGAGATGACAACTAAATATAGTTGCCAAACAGCAATGACAGGCTAGTTTAAATTATAGTAGTTAAATCAAGTCACTTAACATTATGGTTCTTTCATCTTTATATAAAAGAAGTTACACTGAATTTATTTATTCAGTTCAAACATAATTAACAAGACATTTAATCTTAAAAAAAACAAAAATACAAAATACAAACTAAGAAAGAAAAGAAAAATATAAGAAAATTTATAAGAAGATATTCATATTTTGTACTTATTCATTGTGACTGGTTTACTAATGAATTCATTACTACATGACCAACACAAAATACTGTTCAAAGACGTCACAAACTCTCTGCCGTATTACAGATTGTTGCATTCTTTGATTATTAGAAAATACTTTTTCCAAAACAGATTAAATCATACATTACCAAAAACCATTCTTTGAATGGTAGTAGTCTGAGGATAAGTAGTTTAATCTAGTTTATGACTGCTAGATGAAATACCTTGTATTTTGCTCTGGGAAGTCTGGGAGGGAGGGTGGGATGTGGGGAGGGAAAGGGTGGGGGGAAATTTTTTTTTGTTTTTTGTAAAACTTTTCAATAAAAAAAAAAGAAAAGAAAACTATTCTTTGATATTTCTCAGTATAATTCCCTTAGCCACTCCCAGGCATGAAAATTATGTATCATTCAGTACAGTTCAAAGTACCATTTGATTTACCTGCATCTAAAGCAATTTATGCACTTACATAAATGCCCCAAGAATTCAATAAGTATTTTAATAAAATGTTTCTATCAACTGTAATAAGTCAAATCATGCAGAAATCATTATCTCATAAATGATAGACAAGTTTTAAATAGACTCCTGACTCTCACTCTGTTTTCATTAAATACCTTTTGCTTTCCTGTTCTGGTATCATTCACTAGACATTTTCTTTAGAAATAAAGTAAAACCGCGGTGGTGCAGTGGTTAGAATGCAGTAATGTAGGCTACTTCTGCTGACTGCAGGGTGCCAGCAATTTGGCAGTTTGAATCTCACCAGGCTCAAGGTTGACTCAGCCTTCCATCCTTCCGAGGTTGGTAAAATGAGGACTCAGATTGTTGGGGGCAATATGCTGACTCTGTAAACTGTAAACTGCTTAGAGAGGGCTGTAAAGCACTGTGAAGCGGGTATATAGGTCTAAGTGCTATTGCTAAATACCGTAACTGACATGCTTGAACATTGGTTTTGTTGAATATTGATTTTTACATCTTGTCTGTGGATTATGTTCTTTGGTTTTTTATATTGCTTTGTGATTTTTTTAATATGTTTTAATACTGTATTTTGCTTTTTGTATTGTTTTTAATTGTTGTAAACTGCCCAGAATTCATGCATTTCAAATAGGCAACTAAATAAATAAAAATTCTAATCTGTTTCAGGCTTTAAGCTCACATTAACAAGTGCCCTAAAAAGTCTGGATTAGTAATTGATAAATGTTTTATTAAACATTACTGAAGAACATCATAAACAGGAAAATTGGAGAACTGGCGAGAGATGAACAATTCTACACTTTGTTCATCACTAATCACATTTTTGCACTAACCTACTTTATTTGGCCCCTGCCTCAAAGGTGTTCTGCTATACATTGTCAAACAACTCTAGCAAATAACTAATGTTCCTCATGACCTGAGCATAATGTTAAGTGAGAAAGTAATAGTGTGACCTATGTCATGGCAGATCTAAGGAACAATGGTTCTTCAAAACTTCCTTCATAAATTATGCTGATATTTTTCCAGAAGACATTTCTATCTGGTTGTAATAGTGAGCACATAAGATTATTCATAAAACTCATAGTAAGAAAGTCTATAATCTTTCTCTAAAAACAGGTATGTGACATTGATTCATATCCTGCTAGTCTTGAATCAGGAGAGTGAGCTTTTAATTCAAAGGGAAGCATTATAAATCAGATTAACAATAACATAAAATGTATCTACTCAAGTTTAATTTCTTCCTAAAATAATTAACCATTTTAGATCCAGCATCATTCTCTCTTTAGAAAACTTTCCTTCCTATATCTTAAGTTACTTGCAGTAGCCTACTGTTTTCAACCTCAAACCTATGGCGTAAAAGGGCTGGTGAAGGGAAATACCATACTTAGCAAAGAATTTCCTGCAATTAGACACCCTCACTTTGTAGATTAGACTAGATACATAATAATTTATTTACACAGCACAGGTTTATTAATATGGCATTATTCTGCAATGTATATAAACACACATATCCAAATTCATGGAAGTTAAGAAATTATGCCTACAATACAAATTAGCAATGCTGAAGAAGCACTAATTATCCACTGGGTTGCTGTGGAAGTGAGGAAGGAGAAACAGGTTTGGGCATGCACAGCAATACTTCATGCTGTTAACTGAGGACAGAAAAATAGTACTATAACACTGAAAACTCAGGGATAGTGTAAACAATAATTCTTATCTTGGTACTTGGAAGAATTCAGTGTTATAAAATATGAACAAAAAAAATTGAATAAAAGTAGTTATTTTCATGTCTTAGATCACATAGAAAGTATAATTCTGCTATAATTGCTGGCAATTCACCAAGAGAAATAGGAATAGAAAATGAAACCACTGCTATAAAAGAATCCACACTACACATTCATATCCACATAAACTGTATATAAATATCAAAAAGCAGGCTTAGAAGGATGGGCCTAGGATTATATTGGATTTGTGATTATATGAACTTTATTCAACCTTTCATTAAATTATTCCATTTTCTACTTTCATATACTAATGCCTAGTTTTTATATGACCGAAGTAAGCCAAATTTTTGCAGTAAAATATTTTTTAAAAGGCTACTTAAATTTAAAAATCAAAAGCATCCTCTTTTAAGACCCTGTTCAAAATATGTGGGTTTAAAGATCTTTAAAACCTGGGAAAGAGTCATCTGTTTGATTTGATAGCCCCAATTTGCCCCCAAACGAGTCAAAGAAAACCATAGGTAAATAATTGCAAATTATCTCAATGAAAGAAGTAATACCAACACTTTTAATCTCACTCGGAAACATATTCTGAGATCTTAAATTTGTCTGTATATCATACAATCTTAGACTGCAGGAAAACACAACTTATAACTTTTCTAGACATTCATATGCACACACGCCCAAATCTTATATAAAGAAATTCATAAAATCTTCTCCATACTGATTATAATTTATTATAGTCTGTAGATGTATAGAGATGTCTATGCATTGTTTTCTAGTGAGTCTATTGAACCATGTAGTTTGATATCAGCTATACCTGTCTTTACCATTAACAGAGGGCTGGTTTTGAGGGTGAGAGTGGGCTAGAAAATTAGCATAAGGAACTAGCCCTTGCTAGTCCCACTAACTAGTAAAGTTCAGAGCCAAAGATTTACAAATATATATGCCAATAATCTTAACTGAAATTATCTTAGAACCTCGATTTCGAAGCTTCTTAATTCCTTCCATATTTGGTTGGCTGGCTACCTATCCAGAAACAAGCACCAATGTAGTTTAAAAATGCAATTTTAGTGAATCAGCATCAGCAAAAGGAGAAAGAAGCTCCTTTCGGGGGAAACAAAAACTGAAACCCACTTTTTGCCTTCCCTATTCAAAATCAGGGTCCCAAAACTCCCTCAAAGCGAAGCCAAGCTCAAAGTGCCTGCGATATTTACTAGAGCGAGGTAGACAGCGGCGGAGCTGTCAAAGAGGGAAGAGTTCTAATCCACATCAGTCAAAGGACCCCCGAATGGAATCGAAGAGGGGTGTGTGTGAAAAGACAAAACACAAAACTCGGCGGTGCGTTAACCACAACTGCACTCCCCCCCCTCACCCCCCCCAAAAGGCTGCCCTCTCGGGATACGTCGTATCTTCCTCCAAAACACAAATCAGCTCTTTATTTTGCCCTTTAACGCTGGCAGCTCCAGTCCCATTGACTTCCAACTATCAGCATCTTCGTTCGTCCCAGGCAGAACCTTGGAAGACGGGCGCCCTCCGCTTGGTGCTCGAAAAAGCTCCTGCCCACCCAACCTCGGGCTCGGCAGGGTGTCTCGGCTCACCTCCGGAGGAAGGTAGGGCGGGTTGTTGGCCTTGCCACCTCGGTATCTCCCGTTCTTCTTCCTCCCCTTGGAAGAACCACCGCCTCCGCCTCCGCCGCGGCCTCGCAGGGCACCCCCATTGCCGCCCCCCACGGGCCGGCAGCAACCCCCAAACAGCTCGGACACCCGCGAGTCCATCCTGGGGCCAGCCGGCAGGACCTCCGCCTCTGCGGATGCCTCTCAGCCCAGGACTGGGCTTTTGACGGCTACCCTCCACTCTGGCGCTTGGCGTCAGAAAGAAGCGCAGGGTACCACGGGAAACAGGGCCCCAGCGGCAACACAATTGGACTACAACTTCCAGCGTCCTCTTTCCCGTGGAAGGCAGCGCTTTTCGGACAAACGCTGAGGCGAATAGGGCCGGTGCCAGAGCCTTCTCTCATCGTTTTGCACAACGAGAGCAGAGCTTGTTTGTGCTATCCAACCAACGGAGCGGCCTGGTGGCATTGCAAATTGCATTAAAAGGCATAAGCTTTCGTGTCACCAGGCTCCTATTTATTTTTTTTTATGCTTCCAATTATTTCAGTTCTCTGAACAGAACGCAGGACTGCAACATCGAGCAATCTCGGGGGCGATTAAATTTAGGATTTATTTTTTTTTGGTAGCGCCTCGCATAAAAACATCCCACTAAAATACTTCTGCTTGTTTCAGTTTTATTGTTGTATGCTTTATAGAAGGAGCAGCATCCTAAAACATCCTTCAACTTTGGAGTCCTAAGAAATGTGCGATTTATTATACTAATAAAGCCATTTTCCAGACAGAATTGGGCCTCAATTTAAATTAAAACTCTGTTTCGTGTTGTATCCTAAAAATGCAAGATTTGTTTCCTGCATCTTAATTCTAATCCTGAATTCAATTTTTTTAAAAAAACTACTAATTCTCAGGAGAAAGATAGAAGAAAATGTTATTACATTTTAAATTGCAGGCATATACATACTCACCTGTAAATTCGCAACTTACATCAACTACTGTATATATGTTGAATTATTAGAGAGTGTCAGTTATCACACCTATTTCAAATGACTAGTTTTATCTATCATTTTGTTCAACTGATTCTTATTAACATATCTCCAACCATCACAAAAGCACAGTGACTTTGAACAAATATATAATTTCACAGAATTTAAATAGCAGGAAAAAGCCCTTAATTTTTCCAATACAGTTTTCCAGAGGAATAATGTTTTTCATTGTATATACTTTGTTTTGTATTTTATCCCTATGTTCCTTTTTATTGAAATATGTGACTGTGCCATATGATAAATGTTTTAATTGCCTTGATAGCTAGCAGTAATAATTATAAACAGTACAACAGCATATTTTTACATTTGTGTACAGTAATATTTCAGTCACAAACTAATAATATCCATCAAGTTCAGATTTAATTTCCCAGTTTAAACAAAGCACATACGTTTTAGCCTACAAACTTTAACTAAGTTTGTAACTTATTTACAAAAGCAGCTGAATTACAGATTTTTTCATGTGGTCAAATAATGCCTCATGTAACACCCTCAATACGAGATCGTTGTTAGAGGTAAGTATTGGCAACATGTTGCATCAGTTGGAATGAATTGTCCATTGTAGGAAATACCTTGCATCAGATTCAGCTGACTATATACAAAACACTGCATGATTAATGTATTATGAAAATGACCTAGAAATACTGAAAGCATTACTCATCGATTGCCAGTGCAACTCAAGTTCAACTACTACCTGGGTTTTCAATCGCAATCACACCATCCTTTTAAAAATGCACAATGCTTTATAAAATGTATCTTTTTTTTCTCAGAACTTGTTGAAGTAAGTTTGTCATCATAATGAAGTGATGGGAAGAATATTCCAAGATTCTGCCCTATCCCATAAATATTTTAAAGGAACGAATAACGGTATACCTTTCAAAATATTTATCACACACAATAGTCTCAAGAAGCTGTTAAAGAGTTAATCCAGGAGATCCTGCTTATATCTACGATTATTAACTTTCATTTGGGCAAAACGATCCCATTTTATCTTTTAAAACGGGGAAACGTAAGTTAAGTGGAGACATACAACGGAGGCAAATTCGTTTTTTATATTTTCCTGGAAACGGGGGAAGACAGGTCATCTTACTTTCGGCAAATATTTGAAGATCTAAATTTAGCAACGTTTCCTCGACTAAGTTTCGCTTTTGAGCCACCGCCAAAGTTTAAAAGTTTGTTTGGGGGCGGGGATAATCAAGACAGTTCCTTCTAAGGATCATGCAAATAGCTGCCCTTAGACCCGTGTTGGATTCCCCGCGTAGCATCTATATTTTAATCATACTATAAAGTCAGACATCAAGAGAAGGCGGACAAATGAGACTGGCCAGCTTGACCATTTCAGAAAAAGCCAAGGAAACATACAATCTAGCCCGGGGGGGGGGATCTCCAATCTTGGCAATTTTAAGACTTGTGGACTACAACTCCCAGAATTCCTCAGCCAACTTTGCTTGAAGTCGAAGTCCAGAAGTCTTAAAATTGCCAAGGTTGGAGACCCTCCATCTCGCCCATACAGGCAACGGCGCTCAAACTTACCCGAGACAAAGATGGCGCCGGGAGAATCTGCCCACGCTCCAATGACGTACGGGCGAGATTCCCACGATGCTCCGTGAAGGCGGCCATTCAAAGCTGGCTGAGGAATTCTGGCAGGTGAAATCCGCAAGTCTTCAAGTCGCCAAGATTGGAAACCCCTGAATTCTAAGCCCATACAGGCAAAACGACGCTCAATTTACCCGAGACAAAGATGGCGCCGGGAGACTCGTCCCGCGCTCCAATGACGTACGGGCGCTATTCCCATGATGCTCTGGGAAGGCGGCCATTCAAACCGGAGTAAAGGTGAAGGCACCGAAAATGGCCGCCCCGATAGCAAAGCAACGGGAAGGTGAGGCTGCAGCGCCACCCGGGTGCGGTTTCCCTCCCTCCTTTCGAACCGTCTTCTTGGACAAGTCTTCTTCTTTCCTCTCCTCGGGGCTTTTTCTCTCCGTTCTCGGGCAAAGCAAGATGAGCAGCCGCGCACTACGTTTACCTCTTCTTCTTCCTCCTCTCTTTCTTTCTTGCAGCCGACCTGCTGGAGGCCGCCGAGACAAGCTTAGAACTCGGCGAGGCCGCCACCGTATCTGTGACTGTGGCGCTGACGACCCAACCGGCGGCTCCGGCTCCTGGAGGCGCCTTCTCGTTGTCTGTCGTCTTCCCGGGCTCCGTCACCCGCGAGGGATGTTTCCGTTTCATCTGCGAGCTTTTAAAGCACGTCCTGTACCAGAGGCAGCAGCTGCCTTTGCCTTACGAGCAGCTCGCCTGCTTCTGCCGGATGCAGTTGCCGAAGCCGGCTAGCCAGGTGAGACACAGCCCGGCGGGAAACGGTGGCTGCTGCTCCATCCTTTGCGTGAATGGGCTGCTCCCTCGCTTTTGCTTGAGACCAGAAGGAAACCGACATTGGGCCCGAATGATGGTTTGTGTAACGGAGGAGTCTACAGGTAGTCCTCGACTTATAACAGTTTCTTTAATGTCCGTTCGAAAGCGGCTTGTGACCGTTATGACCGTCGCAGCATCCCCAGGGTCACGTGATTTACATTCAGATCAGGGGTGAAATCCAACAGGTTCTGGAGAATCGGTAGCGGAAATTTTGAGTAGTTCGAAGAACCGGCAAATGCCACCTCTGGCTGGCCCCAGAATAGGGTGGGAATGGAGATTTTGCAATATCCTTCCCCCAGGAGTGGGGAGGGAATGGGGATTTTGCAGTATCCTTCCCCTGCATGCCCACCAAGCCATGCCCAGCAAGCCACACCACGTCCGCCTAGCCACGCCCACCGAACCGGTAGTAAAAAAAATTGGATTTCACCACTGATTCAGATGCTTGACATCTGACTCACATTTACGACAGTTGCGTCATAGGATCATGTTCCCAGGGTCATGTGATTCCCCCTTTTGTGATCTTTGAAAAGCAGAGTCAATGGGGAAACCACATTCACTTAACAACCGTATTGCTAATTTAACAACCGCAGTGATTTGCTTAACAGTGGTGCCGTGGCCTAGATGTGGAGCTCTTGCCTCACAATCAGGTGGCTGTGACTTCAATCCTAGGTAGAGGCAGATATTTCTCTCTGGGCACAATGAGAATATATCTGCTGAATATAGCTCTGTGTTGGTGACAGGAAGGGCATCCGGCCAGTAAACATTCAGCTCCATTAAGTTGTCCAGACTCCACCCTGCAAGGGATTATGGGGTCATTAAAAGCTGATGATGATGATGAGTAATTCGCTTAACACATACTGGAAGAAAAGTCATAAAATGGGGCAAAACTTACTTAACAAATTTCTTAGCAACATAAATTCTGGGCTCAATTATGCTCATAAATTGAGGACCATCTGTATTCTCTGCCGCTTTTCTTCTCATGGGAAAAAAAATCTCCGATGCCAACATAAACTGGTAGTAGGAAGGTTGAAATTTCGCATTTTAAAAATCTGAAAGCAAGAAGGGGAATGTTTGCATGCAGAATCTAGCCAACACTGGCTGTTCTTATGAAAAAGCTTAATGTCTTACAAAAGACTCTCAAAACTGAACCCATGCAAAAATATTAGGGAGTGCCGTGTTCCATAAGGTAGGTGCTGCAATTGAGAGATTATGCTTACATTGTTCCAGTAAATGGTCCTTTTTAAGAGGGGGCCTTGAAGCATAATTGTAATATTTATGGAATGAATAAAGAATACAGGTACTACTCAATTTATGACCACAATTGAGCCCAAAATTTCTGTAGCTAAGTGAGGCGTTTGTTACCTGAGTTTTGCCCATTTTACCGCCTTCCTTGCCACAGTTGTTAAGCGAATCACTGCAATAGTGAAGTTAGTAGCACAGTTGTTAAGTGAATCTGGCTTCCCCATTGACTTTCCTTGTCAGAAGGTCAAAAAAAGGTGATCACATGATCACTGCATCCATTATAAATATGAGTCAGCTGCCAAACATCTGAATTTTAATCACGACCATGGGGATGCTGTAATGGTTGTAAGTGTGAAAAATGGTCATAAGTGTCTTTTTCAGTGCCAAATAGTCATTAAATGAACTTTTGTAAATTGAGGACTACCTGTATTGGAGACAGCCATTCCTACAAAAAACTCAGCCTGAAGTATGTTCCTGGAAGTTCATTGGAAGCTAGTGCAGATGTTATATTTAGTAGAGCTGTTACATAAAGCTGTGGCATGTCAATAATTACTGACACAGATCAATTGTAACTTAATGATTTTCAAGGGTAGCTCCGTGTAGGTGCATTATGAGAATCCAAATGTAAGGTGGTTAAAGTATAAATGGTAATGAGAAGGCTTTCTACTGCTATTTTCCCTGCTATCTAGGGAGGGATCCAATTGCTGCAAGTGATAGAACTGTAGAAGGGCCTTCCTAGCTATGATAGCCACCTGGTGTTTGAGGAGGAGCCAGGAGTCTAGGAGGATGCCCAAATTGTATACCATCTTGGTCTGTTCAGAATGCTACTACATTAAAAGCCAAATATGGTTACTCCCCAACTCAGAGGTCCCAGACCTATAACCACTGTTTTGCCAGAACCTGAATAGCCTGAACCTATTCCTTCCCATCTGGCCTTGAGACTTTGAGGAAGCATCTTGACAGCATCATTTGGCTGGCTTGAGTTGAGAGGTATAATTGGGTATCAATATCCTACTGATGATATCAATCTTGTATAGCTGGAGGACCTCAGCCAGTGATCTTGTGTTGATGTTAAATAGGAGCAGGATGACAACTGAATAAATATGCATGTACCCATTTATCCTAACAGTAGACACCGTTATTGGTATCTACCATTTCTTATAATAAGCCGGGATGGGTTTCTAAATAATATGTAAATACTTTGTTTTGAAATAAAGTGTTTCCTTATTCCTTTTATGCTAAATTATGCATCTCTTAAATCCCCTAATTTCATAGGAAAAAGACATGGTCAGGAAGGTCTATCTGAAAGATCAGGACAACAAAAAGTGCCAGCAAGTGCTGAATGATCTTGAAGGTGTTTTCCAGCACTTGGAAATTATGTTCAGTTTGACACTGGTCCCACGAGTTCTTATTTTGCTTGGAGGTACATCTGTCAGCCCCAAAGAGCTTTATGAAATCAACTTACAAGATATATCCATGAGTGGCACTGAAGAGAGTTTGTCAACCTCAGCCTGTGTTCGCAAGCTATTCCGTTCTCTTTTCATGGCAGATGTGTTCAGTGAGCTTCAGGCTGTTCCCACCATGAGTGTTATTGTTATGGCTCAAGGGCATCGCGACTGTGGTATTGACTGGTTCAGACCCAAACTAAACTACAAAGTGCCAACTCGAGGAAGGAAATTGACTGTTAACTTATCGTGCAGTCATGAAAATAGTACAGCCCTTTCCACTTGCCAAGAAATAAACTCTGCCTGGGATGATTATATATGGTTCCAAGCTCCAGTAATAATCAAAGGCTTTAATTATTTTTCTTGATAAATATTTTAAGGAAAAGGTCTTAACTAGCTAGGTTAATCTTCTGTTTGTTCCATCACAAAGAACAATTCCCCTGTTTAAAAGTTGTTTTCCTTTCAGAAGTAATGTTAAACTCTGCAATACAGAGCTGAAAAAGTACATGTGTCTATGATGACAGAAAGTATCTCTGGAGAATGGATTCAATGTATTGCCAAAGCCTTATGCAACCCATTAACCTGTATTCCGTGCTGCAGATTTTACTATAAAAGGATACTTGAAAATATCTGTGCCAGTATATGCCTGATTCAATACTGAATTTCCAGTGGGATATGTGCACCTATGCAAATTTGATGTATTCTAGTATTTTTTCCAGAAATATGGTGAAAGTTATATAAATTGCTGCTTTTTTTCAATAGTGAAAATTGTCTAAAGATTGATTGTATAGTTCAGGGCAGCATAGTTGCCCTCCCATTTGGAAGAATAATAGCTATTTAAAGCTGATATTTTCTATAGCGGATGTATTATGACACTTTTAGGTGCATTCCTATCTTAAGCAACAATTCAGAGTATGGTAGGTGATAGGTGTGATTACAATTATATACATGCTTATATAAGAATGTGTGAATGAACTCGAGTTTTCAATTTCAATATTCACTTTTGGAATACTAACCTGCCTCTGATTTTTATTAGAGCTTACATTTTAAAATTACCCATTATGGAATTAGAAGTTGTGTTCAGTTGTTCCTATAAATTCATTTTAAGATTGTAAAGTTTGGTTTTTATTTCCTGTTCAGTTTGGTTTACCAACACTGTCAGAAGTAATGCAATGGGTGAAAAAGAAATCTTTTTCCCCATTAGCTATTGCACGTGCTCAGATTGTATGAAGACAGATTAATATTGAGCAACCATAGGATAATAGCTAATCTCATTTTGAAAGAAGCCCAATGAAAGAAGATAGATGGGGCAATATAGTAACTCTGAAAATGGATATGTTTCTTAATCAGTTATTCTGAGGCACAGAAAGATATAAGGGACTTTTGGAGGCAGTCTTAAATATATTCACACGAGTTAAATCTGGGGCAGATGTAGCAATGGCCAAGCACACTCTGTGGCTGTGGCCTTTAAATAACAAGCACACTGCTTAAGGTGTTTTATTATATCTACACTATAAAGGGTTGTCTTCCTTTATGGCATTGTGTACTATACTGTAAGTGGACCAATCTGAAGATATAACTATTGTATGTTTGAATACTTCCTTGCTTAGAGAGAAACAATACTTCTTTACTTAGAGAGAAAATAACCATATCTAAAAAGTAAAATTCAACATTTTGCCAGGTACTAATCAATTTGGATAAATGTATAAAATAATGTTTAATATCTGATTGTGAAAGTGCTGCTTCAGTGAACTGTAAAAAAAACTGTCCTATTTCAGTATGTATAATGAAGTAAATCTGAACAAGAACAACTACTTTGTAGAAACCTTGCTTTAATGTCATATAGTCATCTTGTATGACTATAACAGTCGGCTTCACACAAGAAAAAAAAAATCTCTTTAATACTTGGACAGTAACAATATTTTGCTATAAGTGATTCAAGCTGCTCAGAAACTTGCAATATTTGGTTGATAAAGCATTTTCTGAAAATATGTTGCTACGTAGTTTAATTCAGATGTTCCACCTTCTTCACAAATTGTCTGATGTCTTGAGCCAAGAGCTCTGGTTCTTCAAAGGCTGCAAAATGCCCTCCCCGGGGCATGTAGGTATAGGTGACAATGTTCTTAAATTGCTTCTTTGCCCAGGAGCGTGGGCAGTGAAGAAGTTCATTTGGGAAGGCAGCAACGCCAGTTGGAACAGAAATGTCAACCCTGCGATAGAAGAGAACATATCTAACATATCTAGTTCATTAATTACTCGATGCTGTTTTTTCTTAGTTACATTGGTGTCAGCATAGGTCCAAGATGGTTTGGAGAATCTATATTTTCACATATATAGTTGAATTATTAATCTTTTATCCCATTTTAAATTAACAATCTGCTTAATAGTAGCCTTTGAATGTCTTTTTAGAAATTGAGACTTAACATTCTCTGGGACATCCTACAGAATTAAACTCTAGGCATTCACAACAGGTTTCATATGAGCAAAGTAATTTTGATTATGGCCTTCAGTTATAAAACCAACAAGCTTCATATTTACATCTAACTTAGTTTCAAAACCAGAATAATTTCTTCCTCCTTACTTGGCATCAGGAGCAGTATCTGGATCCTGGCAGAGATTCTCTTTATAAAAACGCATTGAAGACACAATGGAGGAAGTCACCCAATAAATCATGACATTTGTCAGAAGTTCATCCAGAGAGTATTTCCTGAAAAGGGGCATCACACTTTATTAGCAGATCTTAAAATGCGTATTCTTAGTTCACGTGTAAAGCAGAGAGTAAATAAATGCCCAGCAACTATTGGCTGATGCTTAGAGAATTCACAGGATTAAACACTTGCAAGTCATCTTCTATAACTTGCAACTGTTCATATTTCAGCAATATTCTCCAAATCATTCTAAGCCAGCAGTTACATATTTGCAATTTCTCTTTTTCTTTTAATATATAGTTATTATACATAATCATACCTTTCCAAATTCCCATCTTCCATGTTGACGAATGATTTATCTGTCCATGTGGAAAACTTCTCTAGGATATATGCAGCAAGACCTACAGGGGAGTCATTCAGGCCACACCCTAGGTGAGAGAAGTAGCAAATTTACTTTCATATTACTTGCTTACATTCGAATTAGAAGCTCTATTAAGAAGATTTGTGAGCAAGAATTGGGGATTTGGATTTTAGCCAATTCTCATTTTTGACATTATGGTGGCTTAACTCTTTTTGTAGGTATGAAACTAACTTGACTGAAAAAACTATCTTCCCCAGCATGAGAAATATTGAGTGTTGGGTTGCTGCTAAATACAGCATGCTAACTCAAAGCATCTGCACACTTTTTTCCCATGGAAGTACATAATATTTGAACAGCATCTTCTGTAGTTCAGTTATAGGTTTGAAAATGTTTTTTGACTTTCATTGTCTGGAGGTAACAAACATACACAAATGCAATTTGTAATGTATTACCTACAGCTGAAATAATACCATTTCAGATTTATAGAGGTCAACTTAGTGAATTAAACTTGAACAAGGGTATCTTAGGGTTCTGAAGAATTGAGAAAAAATTGCTTAGGTGTATACAATCAAAGTATAGATTTGTTGCAGATCTTGGTATCCTTTCAATACTGTAGTCATTATCAATGTGCAATTTTTAATGTAACAGAAGAGTAAAATGTTAAGTTGTGATTTAAATTATATTTGTTGTCATATTCCAACAATCAAAAAGTTGACTGCAGTCCCTTGGTTTAGATGATGCGTACGGGACATGGAAGATAATATATGTCTTCTTGGGTAGGAGAGAAAATTGAAAATGCTTAAAGCATTGTGAATCTGCAATTTGGAATTCATTTTGTTTAATCTAGCCAATTATTTAACATATCCTTTGTGCTTAATTTTGGTTTCAGTTGTTTAAAATGTGTTATGAAAAAGATAAAGGTTTTCCCTGTCCAGTCATATCCGACTCTAAGTGGGGGGGGGGGTTTCAACACCATTTCCTAGCCATAGAAGCCAGCATTCTCCAAAGATACTTCCTTGATCATGTGGCTGGCATGACTATATCTTGAGGATCATAAATACATAAATAAATAAATAAATTTATTTATTTCTATACCGCCCTTCTCCCGAAGGACTCAGGGCGGGGTACAGCCTATTAAAAACACAAAGACAAACATCAGTTAAAAAATAATTAAAATTATTACATAATTTCGGCTCAGATTTAAAACCCCAAAATTTAAAACCCAATTTAAAAATCATTACATTGATAGCCCGGCCTGGCGGAACAGCAGGGTCTTGAGGGCACAGCGAAATACACGGAGGTCGGAGATCTTATGCATTTCCGGGGGCAGTTCATTCCACAGGGCAGGAGTTCCCACAGAGAAGGCCCTCCCCCTGGGTGTCGCCAGCCGACATAACTTGGCTGATGGCACCCTGAGGAGACCCTCTCTGTGGGAGTGAACTGGCCGGTGGGAGGCTGTTGGTGGCAGAAGTCGGTCCTGAAGGTACTCGGGTCCTATGCCATGGAGCGCTTTAAAGGTGGTAACCAACCCCTTGAATCGCACCCGGAAGACCATGAAAAGCTGTTGCCTTACCACCAAAGTGGTACTTATTTATATACATGCATTTGCATGCTTTCAAACTGCTGGGTTGGCAGGAACGGGAGTTCACCCTGTTACACGGTATTTGGGTCTCGAACTGCCAGCCTTCTGGTTGACATGCCTAGCATCTTAACCACTAGGTGCCCCCTTAAAATTCTATCAGAAATATAAAAACGAATGTGTCTTGATTTTTTGTACTTTTTGAATTTATTTTTTAATCCAAGATTTGTGAGTAGAACAATATGACTCTGAAATTTATTATATTGATTCATTACTTCAATAGATGCTACATGCCTTCCTTAAAAATGTTTTGTACATTAAATTCAAATTTGTTTTATCTTATGTCTGAGTTTTTGATCTTTCATAAAGCATTGAGTTTACAAACCTGCTGTATCTGGTTTGGTGGCTTGGATATGCATATACCCGGATTCACGCAATATATAAAATATGTGCTTAAAAAAAGGGAACATGCGCCGTGCATCTTCTCTGGTTAGACCCACCAGCCATGGTACGTAGGCTCCCAGTAGTATATCTATCATGGCTCCATAACCAAGTTTTGATATAAAGATCATATTGACATGAAGTCCTTTTACAGATCTGAAATCAAGGAAACAAAGGTGATCCCAAATATACTTACTGGGTGGTAATTGAGACTCATTAGTAAGTGTGCATAATATAGCATGTTTAAAACAAGCAAAATAGGGAAGAATGTTAAGAGATGTGAGAAAACTGATATTGACAAAGGATGCAAAAGGCAACTAACTAAAATTATTTTGTTGTAATATCTGACATTTTTCAATTGCTTTCTATGAATATAGTTAAACAATCTAGAAATTCTTCATGAGGAAAAAATATTTTTTGCGGGGCTAGAATCCACAATCCACAAAAGTTATTTGCTCTGATAATTTAATATCAGAATATTAAATATTTTTTTACAATAGATGTTGTCTCTCCAGGAATAGATTAGTCACAACATGGAAAAACAATTAGTACAGCTATATGATAATGGCTGCAACTTTAATTTGCACAGTAGAATCATTCTTGTAAATTAAAGCTCCTGCTTTTCAGTGGCCCAACTAAACTAGATGATGAAAAATTGATAGTGCATACATCATCTAATCTGGATACCATGGATATTGCAACATTCCAGTTCCTGTCATGTTGTTGTGGCCTGTCAGCGGCCTGTGCAATTAGTAGCTGATTCCGACAGCGAGGAGGCTGGTGTGGTGCTGTGCCAGCAGCCTGTGTAGCTGGCACTCGAGTCAGACAATGAGGAGGCTGGAGAAAATGTGGTGCCAGAGGCGGGGATTCAGCCAGGGCCTTCAGAACCTCCAGAAGCTGCCATAAGTGAGGAGGAAGAAGAGGAGGAGCTTCTTCTCGATGCACAGGCGCACAGAGCTGCCAAAAGCCAGGAGTGGTTCCTCAGGAGGAGGTTTCCTCGAGAGTAAGGTTTGGGGCTAATTGGCCACTCCCTTAGCCTATTTAAGGAAGGATGACGACTGAGGCAATTTGCAGAGAACAACTTCGTTCACTCTCCTTCGCGTCTTGATCTTAGTTCTCTGCAAATTGCTTCTGGGCTTTCTGCCAACCATAGTAAGATTACGATTATTTATTCTTTGGATTCTTGTAGGCTGTTAAGAAAGTTAATTAACAGCCTTTGTTTGAAAAAGACTGATTTAATTTAGTAAACTAAGGTCTGTACAAACTTTGTGTGTGCTGCGTTCTTTGGGGTCTGTAGCTGGGGCAGAACAGTTATGTAAGTAAAAACACCTGAGTGAGTGACACAGAGATTCCAACCACTTACTTTGGCAGCATCTGTGCCATGTTCTTGGTGATTCGGGAGCCCCAGTCTCCACCTTGCAAGTAATATTCCTGGAAACCCAGTCTCTGCATCAGCTTGTGAAAAATCCGAGCAGCAGCTATTGAGTCAAAACCTGTTAGTTGGGATAAATGTGATATTAAAATGTGTTTGTCTTGAACTTAACTTATAATCAGAATACACCAAACAGAATAAAATACAGATCTGACATCAGAAAAGTCAATATTCAATAAGAGTATAAGAAGCATTTCAAATTTATAGGATTCTGGAACACAGAAACTACTAAAAATGATTTTATTATGACACGACACTAGTTTAATCTGTGGCATGAACACTTATGTGCCTTTTAACCACTCGTAGCGCTCATCACTTCATAATGCAAGAATGCCTGTATGTGGCCCCAAACTGTTACAGGTAGTCCTCAACTTATGACCAAAATTTATGTTGCTAAGTGAGAAATTTGTTAAGTGAGTTTTACCCCATTATACGATCTTTCTTGCCACATTTGTTAAATGAATCACTGCAGCTGTTAAATCAGTAACACCGTTCTTAAGTGAATCTGGCTTTCCCATTGGTTTTGCA